AATGCTGCTATGATCATTCACACACATGTCTTTGTACAGACATATGTTTTCACTACTCTTGGGTAAATTCCTAGGAGTTTTATTTTTTAAGAAAATGCCAAGCTGTTTTCTGAAGTGGCTAATCAACTTTACATTCCCACTAGCAATATGTTGAGGGTTCCAGTTTCTCCACATCCTCACTTATACTTGATATTGGCTATCATTTTTGTTGCAGCTGTCCTCACTGTATCTCACTCAGTATAGTTTTAATTTGCATTTCCCTAATGACTAAGGATATTGGGCACTTTTTCATGTGCTTATTAGCCATTCATATATCATTTCTAGTGACATGTCTATTCACATATTTTGACCATTTTCTCATTGGTTTATCTTATCATTGAGTTATGAGTTCTTTATATAGCCTGGATACACATTCTTGATCAGATATGATTTGCCAATATTTTCTTCAAGTTTGTGGTTTGTCTTTTTTTCTTCTTAATAGTGTCTTTCGGAGTACAAAAGTTTTTAATTTTGATGAAGTTCATTGTATCTTGATTTTTTTTTTATGGATCATACTTTCAGTGTTGTATCTAGGAACTCGTTGCCCAAGCCAAGGTCACAAAGATTTTCCTCCCGTGTTTTCTTCTAGAAGGAATTGCAATTTCACCAGCTTTCTGGGAGAGTCAGTTACATACTCCCCAGATTCATGGTCAGACCATATATCTACCACCTGCTAATAGAGTATGTACATGTGTGTGAGAATCTTGTCTGACAGGTTGAATAACTAGGAGCTTTTGTGTCTGTAGGTGTGTGTAATATATGTGAATGACTTCTGCCTGTGTGACCAGGGGGACACCATGAGCTTCAGGAGTCACCATGGTATGGGAGACAAACTAGTGTTCCTGCTGTGCAATCTGTGCTAGTTTAATTCCTACCTCCATGACTGTCCCTTCCCCAGGCTACCTGCTTCCCTCACCCTGGGTTCTATCCCCCTTGCTGGATATTTGTTGTTGTTGGTGGTGGTGGTGGATTTTTTGTGGGGGAGGGAAAGAGGCTCTGAGGAAAAGGGGAAGGACAAGTGGGAAAAGCAGCAAAGTCTCTCATTTATATACACAAGCACATGTACACCCGTCATGCACCTACACTCAGCTATACCTACGTTGGCATAAATCTGGGATACACTATGTTTAAATATATAAACAGGAGCAAAAGAGCTGGCAGACATCCATATGCATGCTGTCACATTCCTGCAACACTCAAGCAGGGCAGAGACTATGTCTGTGTACATAGCTGGGGCTCAGCATTTGTTGAGTAAGTGGGCACATGCGCAATCGTCCCTTCATTGTTCTATCTATGACAGGGTAAGTTGTGTGAGACAGAGTCGTGCAAGGGCAGAATCAGAGCCTGTGTCTAATTAAAATTTTGATATTTTGTCATCATGGACCTTTTCGTTTTTATTGATTTTTTAATATTGTATTTAAATAGTATTTATCTTGATTGCTGAGTTTTTTGGTGCCTCCTTAAACTTTGCACACAAGGTGATTGATGGCCTCACTTGCCTCACCCTGGTTTTGATCCTGTGCTGGGGACAGGGAACAGGCCTGGGGTCAGGCGTGTGTGCTGCTCATTCTCTCCACATCCCCCACCTCTCCACGTCTCTTACCTGCATCCCTGACCTTTTGGCTCCTCCCTGGTGCCTGAATGGGGACCCAGGCAGGAAGGGCAGTTTTACTATTAGGTGCTAACAAAAGAATCAGGCTCCCCCAGTGGTCTTGTGGGCCATCACTCTTTTTCCTAGTTCAGGTTTTAAGGGCCCTTGCTTCATTCATTTATTCCACATTCACTGACACCCCCTTGTGCCAAGACTCCGCCCTCAAGGCCCTCCCAGGTAGTGGGGAAGATGGAGGTGGAAACAGATATGTAAGGGACAGCAAGGGAGGGGAGAGGGAGCTGGGGTGGAGGGCCCAGAAAGTTTGCATTGGGGATGGCGCCTGAACTGAGGCTTGGGAAGGAGGGGTCCTTGCTCAGTAAAATGGAGAAGGGCCCCTGGGACAATCAGTGAGCAGCAATGTGGAGCTTACAGAGCTCACGCCCTCGTGGTCCCACATCCCAGGTGGCACTTCACACGTTTCATTTGGCCTGCACTGGGTTTTTTAAATGTTTGAATCAGTTGCCAATGTTTAAAAATGCAGAGATTTCACATAGAATTCTGCTCTCGTGAGAAAACAACAACAACACAAAAACCCCACAAAACTAGGATTTCTGGTAATGTTGGTGTGTCTGGCTTGATAACACTCGGCAGGTAGTGTCTTTACACAGGGCAGCACCGGTGTCCAGTCTCCCACGTCTTGCTGACTTATGCAAGTCTAAAGCTGGTTTGTCCACTGTGGGAGCCACTAACCACACTTGAAATGTGGCTAGTGTGAATTAAGCTGGGCTGTTAATGTAAAATATGCATTGAAGTTTGAAGACTAAGTGCAAGAAAAGAATGTAAAATAGCTCATTAGTAATTTTTAAAGTATTGATTATGTTTCAGTGATATTTTTGAAATTGGGATAAATAAAATATATTAACATTAGCCTTATATGTTTCTTTTTACTTTTTTGACATGGGGCAAAGAGCAAATGGAAATTTACATACGTGGCTCACAGTATATTTCTATTGGTCAGTGTGGGTCAAGGAGCTAAAGGATGAATGGGGGACCAGGCAAGAGGCATAGGCACAGCCAGACCACAAAGCAGGGTGAGGGAGGGCATGGCGATGGTTAAGGATGTGAATTTTGGAGTCCGTGATCACCCTTCAAGACCCTTTTCTGCTCCTACTGCTGTGCCATCTTAACCTCTTTAAACTTTTAGTTTCTTTATTTAAAATAGGGATGGATAATAGCACCCACTCCACAGAGCTGTTTGTGTAAAGCACTGGGCGTATATAGTCGGCACTCCCTGAAGGCTAGGTGATATCAGTCTGCCCAGCTAGGGTGCTGGAATGTGGCTCTCAGGGAACTGACCAGGCACTGACTGGGTTTAGGCTGGCGAGTGATGCATATTTCAGAAAGATCCCTCTGGAGCAGGGCAGGGGGACCAGAGCAGGGGCTGTGCTGAAATTCAGGCAGGAAGTGAGGGAGCGTCTGTGTGCACGCACGTGGAGAAATGGCCCCGTCCAGGGCATGTGGAGAAATGAAAGCCGTAGGACATGATGATGGATGGGATGTGGTGGGAGAGGGCGGTGTGAAGGGCATCACTGAGGTTTCTGGCTGGGTGACTGGGTGCAGGGTGGGAATGCACATCCTCACACCCCCGCAGGGAGGGGAAATCTGGAGAGGCTCTGCCAGGCCAGGGAGCGGGGTCAGCCTTGCCTACCTCTGCATTCCTGAGACCTAGCACAGCTCCTGGCACACAGGCTCTCAGCAAATATTTGCCAAAAGGCTGGAGGGCTAAGAGTGCTGCCTTTGAGACCATAGTCCAGGGCTTGAGATTAGTTCTAAATCTATCAGCTGTGTGATGTCAAGCACACTACTTCACCTCTCTGGGCTTCAGTTTCCTCATCTATAAGATGGGAATAATAAACGGAGCCCCGCTGGGGGTTGTTCTGAGGATTCAGTGAGGTTGTCTGTGTAAGCACATAGCATAGTGAGTGCTTAGTAATTGTTGGGCCCAGACCCCCCACTTGATCCACCCCCAACCCCTCAACACATACACAAGGCCTGGCTTTTCTACCACTTCCTTGAAAGAAGAGAAACCCCAGGGAAATGAGTCCCTCAATTATTCTCCCTTCCCCCTGAGGCTAAGCAGGAGGAGGGAGGTTAGACTTCAGGAAGAACTTTTTTTAGAGCCACTAGTATCCAAGTGGGTTTTAGAAAATCAACTTCTCAGATTCCCTTCGATGCCTTTCAAAGATATTAGAAGATAATTAGCGATCGTTTGGGGTAGGGGGCTATTGGGTCTGTCTCCTCATTCCTGGTCTCCTCAAGCATCCCAGTGACTTGGCAGGAAGGAGCCAGGGTTAGAGGTTTAATGAGGCCATGACCTCCCTATCCCCAGGATGTGGGAGTCCAAAGCCCCCAGGCCCCTCGCTGATCCAGGGGTGGGGGAGACATGGGGATCACAAGTGGGCAGAGGGGAGTTGGAAAGTCCTTGTGATGGTGCAGATCTGGCTGAGCCTTGCTACAGTGACTGGGAACTCTGCCTCCAGCTCAGACTCCATTTCCTCATTTCCAACTCCCTCTCTGATTGCACCTGCCTGAACTCCAAGACTGCTGAAGCAGGTTTTGTTTTTTTATAATTAAAAAAAAAAAGATTTTATTGGGGAATTGGGGAAGGGGAGAAGCCAAGTTGTTGTCCTTCAATCTTAGTTGTGGAAGGCGCAGCTAGCTTAGCTCCAAGTCCAGTCGCCATCTGGCTGCCTTCTGCAGTTTAAGACTGCTCAGCTCAAGGTGCTGTGTTCAATCTTAGTTGTGGGTGGGCGTAGCCACCATCCCATGCAGGAGTCGAACCTGCAACCTTGTTGTTAGGAGCATGTGCTCTCACCAGCTGAGCCATCCTGCCACGTGTTGGCAGCTCAGCGGCAGCTCAGCTTGGGCGCAGCTCACTGGCCCATGTGGGAATCAAACCAGTGACCCTGTTGCTCAGAGCTGGCGCTCTTAACCAACTGAGCCACTCGACCGGCCCCTGAAGCAGTTTGAGTTTTAGCAGGGAACCAGCCTGGCTCAGTGAAGGGAACATGGGTTCAAGAGCCAGACAGTTCTGGGTTCCATTTCCACCACCCAGTAGCTGAGTGAACTTGGGTGAGTCATGTTAACCTCAGTGTGCCTCAGTTTCTTCCTTTGTAAAGCAGGGATAATAGAACCTCCCTCTGAAAGGTGCTGGGACGTTTAGATGCAGCTGTGTGTGCACAGCATGTAGCATGGCGCCCAGCACACAGCTGGCGCTTCATCAGTGCGCTCACTCCAGAGCTGGCTAGTGTCCTGTGGTCCCTGGCTCAGCGTTCTCTCTCTCTCCCTTGCTCTTGCTTCTGCTCCACAGTCCCCATCCCCTCCAAAGCCAGCAGCCTCTCAGCCCTCTCACTGGCCAAAGACAGCCTGGTTGGCGGCATCACGAACCCCAGTGAGGTCTTCTGCTCCGTGCCAGGCCGGCTCTCACTGCTCAGCTCAACGTCCAAGTACAAGGTGACAGTGGGGGAGGTCCAGCGGCGACTCTCACCTCCCGAGTGCCTCAACGCCTCACTTCTGGGTGGTGTCCTTCGCAGGTAGGAAGGCCAGCCCCCAATGCCCTGCACAGTGCCTGGGGCAAAATCCGTGGTCATTTCAGACCTTCTCAGGGGATCAGAGAGGGCCCCGCCTCACCCCAAGTCATAGGGCCATCCATGCCTCAATTTCCCTGGGGGATTGTGCTGCTCTGGGGGCAGGCCCAGGTCCCCAGCAGCAACCCCAGGTGGGCTTGGGGGTGGGGATGAGGGAAGAAGCCTGAGCACAAAGAAGGGTTGGAGGACTCACCCACATGGGCAGGATGGACAAGGCTGGGTTTGGGGAAGAGAGAGTGCCATCTTCACCTTCTCCCCCAGGACCCAAAGCCCATCCCCTGGGGAGCATAGGCCTCTCTGGTGTGTGTGTTTGGGGTCCATGGTTATCTTCATAGTTGTGTATTTGTCTTTCTTTGTGCATGTCCGTGTGCCTGGGTAGGGTATTTGTGCTTCAGGGCTGAGTTTTTATGTGTCTGAGGCTGGTGTGTGCATGTGTGTGCATGCATGCGTGCATGTTTGTGTGTGTGTGGTATAGGGGACGGCCAGGAGGACGTTTCCGTGAGTGTGAATTTCCTGTGTTACTTTTGGTGGGGTGTGTTGGCTAGAGTGTGTCCTGCTCTGTGTGTATGCGTGATTGCATGTACATCTGGAGCTAGACATGTATGTTTACATGTCGGTACCTCTGTGTGGGGACTGCATTTGTGCAGGAGTGGGGGTATATCTCCTTATTCCTGGTCTCTTTGAGCACCCCAGAGGGGCTTGCGTGAATCTGTGAGTGTCTATTCATATGTCCCTGGGATCCTGACTTGGTGTGAACAAGTGTCTCTGTCTCTACGTGTCCCTGGGTGTCTGAATCTGCATGTCTGGGCATGTCTGTCTCTATTGGGGTGTGTTTGTTCTTGGCCCTCAGTGTGTGCTCGTGTGTGTGTGTGTGTGTGTGTGTGTGTATCTATGTGTACCTGTGTCTCCTGTGTGTGTCTTCCTGTCCCAGTGTATCTCTGCATAAAGGTCTGTGTGTCCCTTGGTAGCTGTGTATGGCCCAGCTGGCATGCTAAGGTGGGGAAAAGGACCCAAGATGGGGCCTATCCTGCCCCACCCTGTATTGTCCCTGCTGTTGAGAGGATTAGGGAGAAACCAGGGGCTCCTAGAGCTGGACGCTAGGCCCCCTGCCCCCATCTTGGCTACAAAGCCAATACAGTTAGGAAGAGGTTGGGAGCAGGCTGAAAGAGGCCCCAGAGTGTCCCCAGGGCCAAACCCAAGCCTCAGCCAGGGTTGGCAGAGGCAGCCAGGCCACTCTAGCCTACACGCTTCTCTCTTGTCTTCATAGTGTGTGTGTCTCTCTCTGTGCATGTGAAGGGCCAAATCCAAGAATGGAGGCCGGTGCCTGCGGGAACGGCTGGAGAAGATTGGGCTCAACCTCCCGGCCGGCCGTCGCAAGGCTGCCAATGTGACGCTGCTGACTTCGCTGGTGGAGGGTGAGTGAGGCCTGGGGGTGGGCATTAGCCTGAGCACCAGGGGACCTGTGTCATCCAGTATGACTGTGTGTGACTGTCTCTGATGCAGGAGGGTAGGTTTAGTCATGCGTGTGTCCTCTGTGTGTCATATGTAAATACATAGTGTGTGCAATATGTATCATCTTTATGTGCATGCACATGTGTGCACATGCCCATGCAGTAGAGAGCGTGTGTGTGTGGAAGCGGGGGCTGGTGGCGGGGGGAGTGGCCAGTGTTTGGTTGTGATAAAGGGATGAGGGGGTGAGAGTCCCTTGCCTGGAGGTTGGTGACTCTGGGCTTGCTCATCTCCAGTCAGGCTCTGGGATACATGAGGGTTCGGCTCCCACCCCTGAGCTCAGAGCCCATCCCTGGTGGCCCCAAGGGATGGCAGTGGGATTGGGGCTGGAGTGGTGCTGTGGTGGGAAATCAGAGGAAGGTATCTATAGAAGCCAGCGGTTCACGGTGGTGCTCCAGGCTCAAAGGTACACCTGGCCATAGTGACAGCTCATCTGTCTGCCTCTCCCCACGCCAGGAGAGGCCGTGCACCTGGCCCGAGACTTTGGCTATGTCTGTGAGACCGAGTTCCCAGCCAAGGCAGCCGCCGAGTACCTGTGCCGACAGCATGCTGACCCTGGGGAATTGCACAGCCGGAAGAACATGCTGCTGGCCGCCAAGTGAGTGAGGGTGCAGGTGTGGGCGCTTTTCAGCACCATGGTCAGGCTATCATGGGTGCAGTGTACAGACACAGATGCCAAGCATGGGCACATGTGGCACACCTAGGATCCATGCAGTGTATGCCACAGGGCACACGTGGACATATGTGAACCTATCTGGATTCTATGCAACCTATCAGCAAAAACACTGTCACAGACGGGTTTACATAGTCTGTGCCAGGCCCCCATACACTGCCCCATGGCAGCATCACGGGTTTGAGATCCTGTGGTCTTGTTCTCCCTGCCTGAGCCTCGCCCATCAGCCTTTCTGCTCTAGTGACTTCCATCAGGGCACCAACACCCACCCAGGCCATAGGTTGACCCTCTCTTGTCCTTACTTCACACTTAACCCCTCTGCCAAGTTTCACTGGTGCCTCTTTCATTCACTACCATTCACATGCTGCCACCTCAACTCTGGTCTCCTATAATCTCACTCCTGGACCTTTACCTCAGGGCCCCACTGTTCCTCAGACTCCCTGCACATGCACTGCTCCCCTGCCCAAGAACCTTCAATGGCTCCCACTGCTACTGCATTGATTTTCAAACTAGGTTCTGTGGGGATGCCTTTAGGTCTGTTTATTGAACTGGTATTTTATTAAAATTTCATTTTCAGAAAGGATCCCATTGCAAGAAGAGACAGAGAAAGGGAAGAAGTTAAAAACATTGAAAACCACTAAATTTTACCAATAGGGTCAAGTCCAGACTCCTCTGACAGTGCCACCATCTGGCCTGTACTAAGCCCACCGGCTCCAACTGGCCTGCTTGTGCTTCCTGCCCTCCCATCCTGGGGCATACTCTTCTGCTTAGAATAGCATCCAGTCCCCCATCTAATGCAAATCACAACTCCACCTTCCCTCCTTTGAGGCTTCCTCGAGTCCCCTAGGCAGAAGTGGAATCACAGACTCAAGGGACTGCCATGGCTCATGGGACCTTTGAGGCTGCTCATATTGTAGTTGGAGAAACCTCTCCAGGACAGGACTCATTTCACTAATCAACTAACGCATCAAGTACCTCCTGGGTCCCAGTCATGTCTAAGATGCTGACTGGGTTCCATGGATGGTACAAAGGTGAGACATGAGTGATTATCCTGCCGGAGTCACACACAGGATGCACAAAGAAATGAATGGCCGCAAACTGGAGCTGGATTCAAATCCCAGCTTCGCCGCATGGGCAGGTCATCTAACCTACCTGAAACCAGTTTCCTCACCATACGATGGGGATGATAATAACAGTATAGATTTGTTGTGAGGATTGAGATGATGGATGCATGCAGCGTGCTCGGTACATCGAGGCCTCAATTCATGTTCACTACCAGTTATTATTTCAATGATTCAAGGTAGACTCTGGATTGTTCCCTAATAACGTTAAAGACAAAGCTCTGTGAGGCACTGGGTGCCTGGGGTGGGGGTAGCAGTGGGAGAGGGGATCAAAGAAAGTTTCCTGGATAAGGTAGTAGAGCCGGTCTTTGAATGTGGGCAGGACGTCCACAGGAAGGGAGACTGTAGGGTATTGGCATGTGCTGTTTACTAGCTGTGCGATATGGGGCAAATCAGTTAATGTCTCTGAGCCTTAGTTTCGTTTTCTGTAAAATGGGTATGATCATCATTTGCAGACTACATATTGGGCAGGGTCAGCAATTATAAATATAATATATACCAAGTGCCCAGCACATGGTGGTCCTTCTGTGGGCTCAGACCTTTGTCCTCTAAACTCTGACCCTCCTTCCCCCATCAGGCAGATCTGCAAGGAGTTTGCTGACTTGATGGCTCAAGACCGCTCACCGCTGGGCAACAGCTGCCCAGCCCTCATCCTGGAGCCGGGAGTACAGAGTTGCCTGACACATTTTAGCCTCATCACCCATGGCTTCGGGGGGCCAGCCATCTGTGCCGCCCTCACTGCCTTCCAGAACTACTTGCTGGAGTCACTCAAGGGGCTGGACAAGATGTTTCTAAGCAGTGGGGGCAGTGGGCATGGTGATACCAAGGCTTCGGAGAAGGATGCCAAGCACCGGAAATAATCACTTCTCCTGCCCCATCCCTTAAGGGCTCCCAAGGCCTGAAATGCAGTCTGAGCTCCTGGGGGTGGCCACGCCTGAGAGGATTAAAAGGTGGGGTTGGAGTCAGGTGAGAAAGAGAATATTCATCCAGAAACCCCGCAGTTAGGGGTCTGGGTTGGAAAAGGCGGGGTGGCATCTCTGCGTGGCTTGTTGATAAGGGCCCAGTTGTCTGCCTCACATGTGCAATTTTCTGACCCTGGACTGCTAAGAAGTGCTTCGACAGGAAATGGGCATGAAAGAGCCTAGTTCTTGGGGCTGAGCCCTGCCCATTAAGGTGCTTGGGCAGTGGTGGGTGCCCCTAGGGTCCAGGGCCTTTCTGTTTCCACTGATGGCAGAAGGGAAACTGTTAACAAAACAGAGGTTCTGAGCAGTTGGCATCCTTCATCCCAGAATCTCCTACCCCCAGAAAAAGGGTGCAGGTAGAAAACCTCAGGAGGCTCTCTGGGGCTTTCCCACTCTTGGAAAGAAATGGGCGGGAGGGGCCCTCAAGGAACACAGAAGACAAAGCACAAATTGCAGAACTTGAATCCAGGCTGCACTTCACAGTCCTGTTACTGTCTGTCCTATTTATTTATGTGTTGTAATTAAATTTGAAAGTTTAAAAATGTCCAGTGCAACTTATTTATCCCCTTGAGTTTTGGACTCTTGTTTTACCATTTTCTGCTCATGCACCAAGATGTCTAGCTGGACCAGGATGGAGGTGTTTTTGCTCACAAAGGGCTGTGGGGGGGCCGGGAGGGAGAAAGGCGTCAGGGACCCTGAAGTGGTCGCTGGGATTTTGTACGTGCTGTTTGGACCCTGCTGTCGATGTACCTCCCCAACTCTCAGATTGCTTTCTCATTCTCTTAATAAAACCTTTCACTGGATGTGAAGCCTTCCCTGTCCTTCTTTAGCCCAGGACTGTATTTGCCTCTCAAGAGGCCCTGGGAATTAGGAAGAGGAGTTGCAGTGGGAAGGGGTGTCCAAGGGTGAATCATAGGAGGGGGCTGTGGGCACCTGTGTGAGAGGGTGCAGAGGGTGGGTCTATCTAGCTTGTCATTGTGGCTTTTAGTTGTGTGTGTAAGTGACCCTTGGGTCCGTGTATTATTGTCACTTGGTGGGCCTGTGTGTGACTGTGTCAAGACTGGCTGTTAGGTCTACATGATGTGTTACCATTGTTGGTGGGTCTGTATGTGTCAGTATGAATGCTGGTGACTGACTGTGTCTTAAACCAACACTAATCCAGTACTCTTGTCTTCTTGAGAATTTCATTCTTCAAGCATCTTTTCTTTCCTGCATCATCAGTCTCTCCCTCTTACTGAAGTCTACTAGATCAGGGGCCAGCAAACTGCGGCTTGCGAGCCACATGCGGCTCTTTGGGTACGTTCCATCTCAAAAGTCTGCCGACCCCGGAAGAGCCAATCCTGTCCCTCACAACAATTTAAAATTTATTCAAGAGCCTTAAATATATTTTTACATAATCACCATTATATGAATATCCTGTAAAAATTTTATAAATGAAACTATGATAGTTTTATTTTCATTTTCAATTTTACTTCAGAGCCACAGTTTGCGAGCCGCAGTTTGCTGACCCCTGGCGGCTCTTCTGTCTCAAGTTTGCCAACCCCGGTACTAGATCATTCCCCAAAGCACACATTCTAGGCTATCTTACCTTACAAAACTTAAGTCCTTTCCCCATTGATTTCCCTTGCAGTTCAAATTTTTGAAAGATTGTTATACCCCTAACTCCACTTCCTCGCCCCTCAATTCACTCTTCAACCCACTTCAATCTGCCTTCTGTTCCCACCAGTCTATGGAAATCCACTCAGCAAGGTCATCGATGGCCACAAAGTCAAATCAAAGGCCTTTCCTCTGAACTTAGCCACATTTGACATACTTGACCACTGGATCTTTCCTGAAACTCTCTTCTCTGGGGTTCCCAACTTCTCCTGGTTTCCTGTTCTCACTGGTTCCAACTCTGGCTCCTTCTCTACTTGGCCTCCACCTGTTGGCCTTCCTTGAGGCCTTCTCTCTGAAGTCCAGGCTTAGACGTACAATGGTCTGCCTGATGTCTCCACTGGATTGCCTAACAGGCATCTCAAACTTACGTCCAAAACGGAGCTCTGGACTGAAGTACTCAAATCTTGACCTCCTCTACACTTGCCCTCTCAGTAAATGGCACCACCCTTGACCCAGTTGCTCAAGCCAGTAACTGGAGTCATATTTGATTCTTTCCCTACACCCAATCCATCAGAAAGTCCGTCCACTTCTATCCTTTCTGCCACCGCCTTAGTCCTCAGACCACTGCAAGTCTTCCGACTGGTCTTCCCGTTTCCACTGGTACACCTTCATACCAAGGCCTGCAGCGTTCTGGACTTCGCCTACTTCTTCAGCCTTATCTTAAACTCCTCTCTTCCTTTGCTCCAGACATACCTGTTTGCTTTCTGTTCCTTAAATTACCACTTTGTTTTATGCTGCAGGGCCACTGCACTCACTGTTCTGTTTGCCTGGAATGCTCTTCCCCTAGTTCTTTGCAGGTGTGCTGTCAGAGACAGATGCTGAGTGTTCTGCAGAAGTGAAGGGAACATGGAGTCCAGGCATCATCTCCCAGGGTAAAGGTCTGAAAATGTGATTTTTTTTCTTAAGAAGTTTCATTACCTCAACCCACCCATGTGAAAGAAGGAATGGAGGAAAGGTTGGAAGTATGCTCTGCTTTTTTTTTTTTTAGCTGAGCCATCCTGCCACCTGTTGGCAGCTCAGCGGCAGCTCAGCTCGGGCCGGGCATTGAACCGCTGTTGATCAGAGCTCACACTCTTGGGCGAGCTCTTAACCAGCTGAGCCACTCGGCCGGCCCTTGCTCTGCTTTAACCAAAGCCCTGGGCCTGGCAAGAGACTAACTACTAAAATTACCTTAGACGATGGGAGATTGAGGGGATTAAATAACAGACATATAGCACTTACACAATGCCCAGCACATGGTAACAAATCAATAAAAGGTTGTAAATATCTCTAAAGGGAACAAGGAAGAAACTGGTTTATTATGAACTTTTTCAGTGCTTGACAACTTTCCCTAAGTTGACCATATAGTCCTCAGCAAGTCTTATTTTAGAGATAAGACAATTAAAGCTCAGAGCAACTTGCCCAAGGTCAGAGTGAATGGGATTCACAGATCTGTCTGATCTGCCCATCCCTTCATTTCCACTGCACCCCATAGTCCCCTGTGGAGAGGCTCGCAGCCCAGGGGAAGGTCTCCCCAGCCCTTCAGGCCCTGAGGCTCTGCTCCTCTAGCACAAGGTCAGGGTCATAACAGTGCAGCGGCAACAGTACAGTGTGGAGACTGCAAGTGGCATAAGAAGCTTTGAAGAAGGTCTCACAATTTGGTTTTTTCCAGTAAGGTTTCTTCCCTCCCCCACAGCAAAACAGTGTTTTAGCCTGACTATCTGGGTTTAGTCCTAACAAAAAGTCAATGATGATTAAAGAAAAAGTACACAGGGATGGTTCACATGGCTTCCTTTTTGCAAAGCAAGGAGCTGCAAGTTAAATGGCGAGCATCACAATTTTTGGAGTTTATACTCATTTATAGAAAAGACTTTCCTGTTTTCTTTGAAATGACCATAGTGCTCCAGGAGGAATAAGGGCAGCCTTTGAAAACCTTCCTTCCCTCAAACCTCATGAACACCCCATGGAAAACGTACAATTTGGACTATTTTACAGATGGGAAAATCACGAAGCAGGACTGCCTGTGCTTTAGTAGTGGCGCTCAGCTGGGGCAACTATCCGTCATCATTGGAGCTTTAAAAAACAGGTGCCTTAGAACGAGACTCGGGAATCTAGCCAAAAGCCCAAGCCTTTGCACACTCGCAGTGATACTGGAGGTTGAGCCAGCTGTGGCCATATGCATCATCTCTTTCCCCCATTTATCCAATGAGTAACTTTCTTATGGTAGAAAGCTTTTACCATTGGTGTGTTAAAAAGTGTATGACAGTCAAATCTGATGTTAACGCAATACTGTTAGTATAAATGTTTTGATCTGTAGGTAGTGTCTTAGATATTTCATTTCAGATAAACCAAAAACCTATTTTTATGTGGTATTAAGAGTAGCACAAAATTGGATAAAGTAGGGCTTATCTTACTTGTACAATTGGAAATGTTAGAAATGCAAAAAACCTCAGGCCATACCCCAAATAGGTAGGACCCAGCAGACTATTTCAATAAGCCCTCCAGAGGCCTGGGATGCAAGCTCAAGTTTGAGGACCAATGCTGCAAAGAAGCGTCAATAAAGTGGTTCTGTCATGACTGAAGAATTACTAGGGAAGCTTTAAAAAATATTTCTATGTTCCAAACCTACTTACTTGGAATCTGGGAGTGAGTAACAGCCTTATTTTTAAAAGGGTATGTGTGTACACACATGCACATGCACATTTTATACAGGAACAGCATACCTGCTGAAGGACAGATAAGAAATCAGTAGTTGAAGTTTCCTCTGGGAAGAAAAGCAGGTGATCAAGTTATAGGGACAGGAGAAACATTTCTTACTATGTCCTTGTACTGTTTGCATTTTTCACAAGTGCTTGTAAGACCTATTCATGTTAATTAATTTAAAATTTTTTAAGCTTAGGGGCAAAAAGAACCAGTGCTTCAGAGGGAATGAGACATCAGCATCAGGGCAGTGATCCTCCATCCATTTCCTTCCTGAGGTGATGTCAGGTAAACTGAGACTCAAACCAGAGAGCTCGGTTTATCCATACTTAGCTTTATTCTCAATTAACCATCTAGCAAGAGTGCAGATCCAAAGAGTAGAAAAAAATAAAGGAGCCCATCAAAAAAAGTTCCCTGGCACGTGGGACACAGGGCATGATGTTAGGAGCCCTGTTTAGGGAAGGAAATGTTGGCCAGGTCATGGATGCCATTTTTGTCAATGATTCGAACACTGAAGTTTGGCAGATTCAGGATGAAGCGTTTCTGGAGCTGCAGAGAGACATGAAGGAAATCAGTCAACAATGTTTATGAACACTAACTATGGGTCAGGCTCTATTTGAGGCACTGGGCATACAAGCAGATAAAAATCCCTGCTTTTGTGGAGCTTACATTCTATTGGGGGCCATCGATACCAGGACACTGAGGAAAGCCCAAGGTGCAGCAGGAGGCTGACTGGACGGTAGTGAGCTAGAACTGGGAGATGGAGCTGGGAGCTTGTCTCTGGTCAGTCAGCTGATGAAAGAATGAGACAATCCAATGTTCTATTCCCACACTCAGATACCAATCAGCCTGGTAAACACAGACTTCTTTTAAAATGTCTCAAGGTAATAAGCCAACAAAAGAGTGACTGCCCTAGGAACAAGCTTTGGACCCAAGCAAGGTACTCCCAGGTACCAAGAGTCTGCCCCAGTCACACTCCCACACTGTAAGGACTGGGTATGTGCATGTTTGCATGTGTAGCTGGAGGGGTGGTGGGAAGGATGTCAGCAGAACTGCTCTTGGAACAACCCCGGCTCTGTCTCCTCCAGTACAAGCTGACCTGTCATTAACGTAACATCTCTGCACTCTCGGAAGACTCTCAGCTTGAGGCTGTTCCGAAGGAAATCTCTGCTTCTGTGGCTGCCCTTCCAGGATGTCCACTTAGTCTCCAGAGAGAAGGCGCAAAGCTCTCGACCTGCTCCCTCAGGAGCACGTCCCAGAAATGCCCACCTCCCCAGGCCTAAGTCCTCCCTCCCTCGATGTTTCCCAACTCCTTTACTGCTGAGGACTGGGCAGCAACAACCCATTCACTTCCAGAGTCCTCTCTGGCTGATGACCCCTAGAGGTCCAGAAACAAGCTCCCAGATTAAGAAAAGGTGATAATAAGGAAATGTGGGTTTCTAAAATGATCATCTTTAGGGTCTATGAGGAATAAAGTCTCAAAGCACTTGATATTCCAGTGGCTTCTTCCTGGCAGCCCCTTGCAACACCTGGGAATGCCAGACTAATATGGCCTTTCAGCTGAATGGTTAAAAAAAGCATGTGAGTTTATCCTCAGCTTCTGCTTAAGAAAGGGGGTTTATAAACAAGAGGAAGAAGAGGTACTGTGGCCTGAAAATGACAGGCATGTGTATAAGAGGCAAACTGACATTGCGTCCAAAGTCCTGCTCTCATCCTCTTACTCTCTCACCAGGAATTCAAGTTAATCCTTAGGCCCCAAGAACAGTAAAATAATGAAAAAAGCCTATGGCGGCTGCTTTCTTTTCCTCCTCATCCTCCATTCATGCCCATAAGCCTCTGACTCTTAGGAGTAGCACCAGAATGAGTGGGATCCATGATCCTGGCCTCATACTCATAAACTAAAGGCTTCTCTCCTCTTCTGCCTGCAGCTTCCTAGTTGCTGTCTATGGTCTCCTGAATTCTCAGGGAAAGCTTTCTCTCCAGGACTCACGCACTGTTAAGGGAGCAGACACTATGGCAATTCCAGGTGGCATGAGAATTGAGCTGCTATAAAGTCTAGGGCAGCAGTTCTTAAATATGGCCAGTTACCACCTGCAGCAAAATCAACTCAGGCTGCTGGTTAAAATACTCTCAGGCTCTACAGTAGGACAACAGAATCAGAAGGGGGCGGGGCTGAATCTGTTTGTTTTTTTTAAACAAGTTCCTCAGATGGTTCTTATACATGCTAAAATTTGAGAACCACTAGTCTGGATGAACCAAAAAGAAAAGTAATTAAACTGTAAAATTGACATTGATGAAGAGGTGACCCATGAGAGGAAAACATAAGCTTGTTATCCACCAAACTCTATCCCTGGTAGCAACTTCACATCTGGTTAGTGGGTATTTATTACATCTCCTGGCAAGGATCAGAAAAAATGCAACCGAGGAACTAGAACAAACTTGGCAAGCAGAGAGAGACAACATTTTTTCAGTCCTTTCAGGGTCTCATGGGAGCTACTCACCTCCTCTAGACATTTCCTAAGAAGCTCCACTGCCTTCTCACGTGAGATAGCTGAAAGAGAACACAGAGGCCAAGCATTCAAGGTGATGCCATAAAATCCAACTCTCCACTGCAACTTCTGATTAAATTTCAAATTTCTTGCGTGTCACACAAACGGCAAAGGCAAAAAAAAAACATTTTTAAGTAAAAATGCCTAGCCTTCTAGCTTGCAACAAACTTATTCCATATGCAGTTGAGGGTGCCCCCCCAATGTTCTGGCAGCCACAAGCTACTGCAAATCGATTTGCTACAGAGAAGGGTAAGCATGACAGAATTCTGCCTCCCATGGCCAGGGCCTGCCTCTAGAGAAGTCCACAGGCTTGCCTCTTTTTTATAGCCCATCCCCCCACCTCACCTCCCCTACCCCGCCTTTAGACCAGGGCTTAAACCAGTTCCATCTGTCCTAGCCAGCTGCAAATCAGGGGAAGGGAGGACAGGGCCAGAGTTTTAGCCTCACTTTCCCAGCTGGGTCTCAGTTTAACAATGGCAAGAGAATTTATAGGATGGGGCCAAGACTCATAAAATAGGAGCCAAAGGAACTGTCCATAGGCATGGCAAACTGGGATGACATGTTATGCAGTTAGGCTTCAGGGGTGGTTGGTGGTTATTTTGGTGGGCAAATCAGCTGTATTACTGACAGATGCCAAATCAAGAAACAGTCTCTAGGAGGCCAGGCTAATTCTTTTCAGGATGTGGCTTGGGGCTCTGGCAAGGCTGAGGTTGAGAGAGAGGGCAGCACCAAAAAAAAAAAGGAATAAACAAGCCAGAGTTTTATTATACTGACAGGGAAGAAAGGAATGTAAGGAGAGAAGCGGTTATCTGTGTTGCATCGACAGCCTGAAAAAGCTGACTCCCAAACCCCTATTGCTCACAGTGGCTCAAGTCGAGGTTGGGATTGGGGTCAGAAGATAGGACTTAGCACAAAAATATCCCTGTGTTGGAAGCTTTGCCAAGATGACAGTTTATTGACAAGTAGAGAGCCAGCTCTATCTTGCAGGAGGGGGGTAGCCATTAGGTGTAAGAACCAAGGGAAGGGCCCAGACTTGTGGCCTTCAAAAGCTCTGACATTTAAGCAAAGAAATCCTCAGTTGTCATGCTGAGGACCTGTTCATCCTCACAAGCTCAAAACAAACACATAAACCACTTGGTTTACTTGCTCATTCTCAACAGCTGAGATACTAATAAGCATCCAGGCAAGGCAAAATGAATGAAAAAACAAAAACAAACAAAAACCTGAACTTTTGTAACTGAAGAATTATAGTTTTACTCACTCCTCCAACCCCCCTTTAAAAGCAAAACAAAACCGAGCTCTGGGCACAAGCAATATCTCATTCTGTCTGGCAAAAGGCCGGGGCTTTGACCAGCTTTTTAATAACCCTACTGAAAGGAGAGAGAAGCTTCCAGAGGGCACCTGCGCATGCTTCTTAGGAGCCATTCTTTACTCAAGCCCTGGCCGCCCAGCTCTCAGGGGCAGTGCACAAAGCTGGGCAGCAGCTGAGGCGGGGCTCTCCTACCACTCCCTGCCCAGGCTGCTGGAGCTTACTTGGCGTGTAGTATCGGTCCAGGATACTGAGAGTCAGGAAGGCACCATAGCCGTGGGCTGCAAAGGGGGCCTTGGCCAAGGCTGCCAGGTAGTCCATGTAGTAGAGCGCTGGGCCCTCGTGCTCGTCGTAGCCAGCCAGGAGGAGGTTGACGTGATACGGGGTCTGCCAAAGAAAAGACATGGCGAAGCGCTCGTCAAAGCAGGAACACCAGCATCTCTTCCCACGGCAAATGGGAACATTCCAACTCTTAATGAATAAGAAAATGGCAGCTGCTAAGTAAATCATGATGGAAGTAAAAACTTGGAGGAACCTAAAGGACCGAAAGTGTGGTAAGAAGTAAAGGGAGGTCAGCTTGTTTTCTTTTAACAGAAGAGCACTTGAAGCACTTTAAGGCACATGAAAAAGCTTTCTTCTTAAAGCCTACGGAGCAGAACCTATTACAAATCATTTCAAAGGCAAAACATGGGTGCTCTCGTGTCTCTAATTGCTGAAACCAACAAACACAATTCTGACAGTGTCAAGCCACAGACTAAAGAAAGCAGCAGCTCCTACCACATCATCCAAAATAAACAGGCTGTCTGAGCACCTCCAGCAAAATCCTAAGTGGTTAACTGTATGTCCCACTATTAAACAAGTAACTCAGGGTGATGAAGGATAGTAGGTCTCAAATATTTAAGTCAAATCACTCAACTTTTAATGCAGACAATAGTGGAAGTTCATGAATACAAAAAATCCCAGAAGAACTATAGATTTAGGTGAAATGCTAACATTTTCCTAACATGACAAGGTTCCCCTAAGATAACTAAGAAGTAATTTTTATCAGTGAAACATTATAACTTGGCTTTATAGGGGTCTTTTCTTTGTTTTACCTGCAGGTCTGAGAATATAAGTTCCTACAGAGAACCCTGACTAAGCCTGTCTTGTTCTTCATCCCCAAATGGATGACTTTTTTTTTTTTTACACCAGCTGGGCCATTTTCCATGTTAAATTCAGTCTGTCTATGCCCCCAGGCATCAGCAGTGAGCCTCCCATTCTACACGGCTTCCTTTTCCTCTGCAAAATGTGGCTTTCCTTTTGCATTTGCCTCAGTGAGCGGGTAGTGAGCAGGCCTTGCCCAAGGTTATGTGTCCATCCTAAACGTACGTACTCAATTGAGTGTACATTAAATGAAACTGAATACCTTTATGCCCCCTATTATAAAGCACACAGTAATAATAGCTAATGGTCCTGAAAGTGACATCTTACATTCTTAGAACATTGATTAACATGGGCACTTGGCAGCCTGAAGAAACTCATGTTAGAAGAATACATGAAAATATTATATACTTACTTGGAATTCCAAGCCAGCTGTGCTAAAGATTATGGAATAGCCCTAACCTGCAAACAAGTTTCTGCCTTGGGGATAAGACTGTGGATAGTCTCAGAGGAGTAAGAATTGACCAGCAGTAGTCAAGTCTTCTGAGAAAATAATTACCTGCCTATCACATCTCCCAGTGGGTAGCGTGCTACACTCTGCCAGGCTCTGGAATTCACTGCCGCCTTCTGTGACTACGTTCTTAGTTAAGTCTGACCTTAGGCAAGACACTTAACCCCTATGAGCTTCTGTTTCCTTTTGTGTAAAACTGGGTTAATTAATCCTTCCCCTTTCTATCTTCTAGGGAGTATAGTGAGAAAAAATAATAGAGGTGAGGCATCCCAAACTCTGGAAGAAAAGATGCTACCTAAATTCCTAGTATATTAGCTACACTCCAGTCTCCTTTTGATAGCTTCCACTTTAAACAATGAAACTATTTAAATTAGCTAAAGATAAAAAATATATATAGTATAACTAATAGCATTTTTTAAAGTGTGAAAACAGTACTATAAAATCAGGCAAACATAAAACACCTTGGTGTTCTTACAGTTAAAATTAGAATAGCAAAAGGGGTGGGGGTGGGAGGGAGAAAGGGAGAGAGGGAGAGAGGGGGAGAGGATTCTAACTGGTTTCCCTCCCCGAGAGATTTAATAATACAGTCTCTTACCTATCACAAAAATAAGTTCATCTTAAAAAGGACAGCACCTTGTCTGTTCCCCTTCCCCCAATTCCCCAGCGCTGTTCCCATCCCCCAATTCCCCAATAAAAAATATATATAAATAAATAAATAAACTGGAAAAAAATTTAAAAAAAAAAGTTCATCTTTTTGCTAAGAGGATAACTCTACTCTTCTTTATTCACTGGCCAAAATACCCACTGTATAGTTAACCAAAACAATTTTATCAAGTTGCGATGGTATATTAAGGATCCACCCAGATATACAAAGAGATCTAACCAGCACAACCCAGATATGTTCTGCTCCAATGAAAATCTTGCCCATAATATAGGATTAAAATGTATTTAACAATTAATGTGATCTTAAAAGCCACCACCAAAAGATTTTACATGAAACTATGTCAACAGAATTCCAAAAGCAAACTGTATTGCTTAATTGATCTATATAATATCATTTAATTATGCTTAGGCATCTGACACACACACTTGTGAAAGTTGGTATTCAGAAGCTACAACACGTGGTATAGAAGATAACTCACAAATTATTGTGTGACTTCAAATTACCAACTTTTGCATGTGTGAGATGCTTAAGCATAAATAAATGGTGTTATCTAGACTAATTAAATCAATACATCTGTGTAACAACTTGTAGTTTGAAATTCTTCTGACAATGCTCCATCAAAGATATCTGGCTCACACTAGTTCTTTAAAATTTCAAATAAAGTCTTGTGTACTGTCACTCTGGTGCTCTTCTAAGAATCATGGTATTCAAAGTGACAAAGCCATAGTTATGGGTTTCTTGACTGTTACATTTCTTCATTCTACATATTCTTGATTCATCAGTGTTTCCTTGGAATGACACAAATCCCAAGCCACTCAATTTTGTGCTGGTCTTACAGCATATACATGTGTGGCTGCTTGTGGTGCAGTTAGGGAAATACTGGGTATGTGTAAGACACAACCCACCTATTCAAGCATTTATACCAATTATAAGCTCCATGAAGGCAGGCCTAGGTCTGGGTTGTTTAATGATATACATGCATGTAGTATATGCTCAATAAAAATTTGCTGAATAAATAATCATCATACCAGAATGTATGACATACGTTTTAACATATGTGGCTAATGCCTAGTAGCACAAGAAGAAAGATTCAGAAAATCACTAAACAAATGTCCTACTTTTGAGAACTGGCTCAAGTTTAAATCTACTGCAAGCCTCTCTCTGAATGCACACATCTTGTTGGTTTTTGCTAGACTCCTGGTTCCTTCTCTTTCTACTTCCTTAAGACATGGGTTGCTAGTATGGAAAAATTTAGGATACAGATCAGGCGTTTAAAATTAAATAAAGGTTAGAAGAAGAGCATAAATAAATATCTCAGGAAGAAACAGCTGGGCTACACTGCAGAATTAGACCTGAGTTTGAAATTTGGCTCTATTACCAGATGTGTAGCTTTAGAAAAGTGTTCTCATTAAAAATATGGAATAATACCTACTACAAAAGGGCTTCAGTAAAGATTCACAGAGATAATGCATATAAATAATGAGAGTGCCTAAAACATAGTAAAGGCTCAAAAAAAATGCTAAAATCAATACCAGGCAAACATAATCATCTATGAAAGTCATAGTGTCCATGAAATAAACAGGGCAAGTACTCAGAAGAAGCCCATCTACTCCTGGCACTGAAATACAAGAGAAATTTCTCATATATGTCTTCATAAAGGGATATAGAGAGATGTTTATTAAAAGTGCCCAGCACACTGCCTGACACATGGTAAAATGCAGTATATGAGTTTCCTCCTCTGTCCTTCCCAGACTCTTTTCAGAGGCCCTAAGGTGACCATCTTTATTGTCAAAAATATTCATAAGCATTAATGCTTAGAGCGTATCTGGTTTATAGTCAACCCACTCTAACCTATTTTGAGATTGACATAGGCACAGAGTCATAGAGCTTTTCTGGAAGCCTGAAAAAACAAAACCAAAAACAAATCCTACATCCAGAGTTGGTAAGTACATTACCATTTATTAAGTAGTACTTTCATGCTTTTTCATGCTGTCCATCCTGAGTGCTAAGCCTCGCTTTCTTTCTAGCTACTTTTCCATTGGTTCCCTTCTTGCCCATGATCAGTATTACATGTGAGAATTTTCCAATTATTCTGGGGAAATGGGAACACTAATTAATCATGACTAAATGTCTAGGAATCCTCTACCTTTTACAAAGTAATCCTTATTCTGTGCATGATATAATTTAGTCTTTGCCTGTGTCCACTATTCTAATTGTTTAGATAACAAATCTAGATAATAAAACTAAGTTAAGAGGTCCCCGTGGGGAGGAATTGTATCTTATATGCCTAGGTATCTTCCACAGCAGAGGCCAAGACTGAGTATTATGTATCATTTTGAAGGAACCTAAACATCCAAATAACCAGTAAATGAATCCAAACATTTAGTTGAGACTCTGCCCAAGGACCTTGAGGATCACCATCAATTGTTTGCACTGCAAATACCAACTTGCTTAGTTTTAAAGTTGTAGCTAACTGATATACAAAAAAAAAAAAAATTTAAATGAATCATTCTGGAAACTCAAAATGAATTTTAGCTTCTAAAATAAGGTACCATAAAAAATTTTGCCTCTTTTTACGAGAGGGAAAAAAAAAAACAACCTA